GCCGCGGGGTCCGCGCCGACGCCCTCGTCCTCGCCGCCCGCGAGCGACGGCGGCCCCACCCGCAGGTTGAGGAGGCCGTAGGACGTGCCGCCCCTGGTCACCTTCGTGATCGTCATGAGCGACCAGCTGTCGACGGTGCACTCGATGCAGTGGGCCGCGAAGTCCCGATCCTGCTGGGGGTCGTGCGGTCCGCGGCACGTCCACGTCGGCGGCCGCACCGCGTCCCCGGGCAGGTCGAGGCACGCGCGGCAGTAGGACCGCACGCACCGGGCGCACTCGAAGAGGCCCTTCGCCGCCGCCCTCGTCCGAGCGCAATCGTAGCAGATGTCGTAGTTCGGGCTCTCCGGGGCGCGGACGACGACGCACTGCCCGGCGACCAAGGCGTGCGAGACGAGTTGCACGGCGGCGGACCGCGACTCGGCGGGGGCGGCCGGGGCAGCGACAAAGATGGAAAACCGCAGCTGCGCCGTCGGGTCCTCCATGCCCTCGCCGTGCTCGTCGGACTCCTGGTCGGCGCCGCCGCCCTCGAGACGCGGCCGCGCCGCCTCGTAGGACTCGCCCGCGTACGGAGTCATGCCCCGGTACTTCGCGCCGGGCCGGCTCGTCGGGCTCCGCGGGTAGTAGGCCCGAAGGCACGCGACGGCGTCGTTGTCGGGCTTGGAGAGCTGCGTGAGCACCGGCGCTGCGCTCGTGCGCAGCGGCGCGAGCTCTTTTTCCACGTCTTCCAGCGAGATCGCGGAGCCGCCCTTGGGCGCGACGTAGTAGGCCTTGGCGTCCGACGGCTTGCGCGTGCAGAAGGGCGTCTGCACGCCGTCGAGGATGGCGTCCTCGATCGTCCCCGGCTCGTTGCAGATGACCTCGTCGGCGGACCCGAGTTCCGCCTGCGACGCGTTCAGCTGTGCCATGCGCTGCTGCGCGTTGCTCCGCTCGGCGTCCGTCGTCACGGCGTCCGTCCCCATGTCGAGCGTCGTGTCTAGAACGTGTCGCGCCAGCCCCGTCTCCCCGTCGTCGAGCAGCTCGAAGAAGGCGTCCTCGAGCGACTGCAGGTCGCCGAGCAGGCGACGGACCGTCGCGCTCGAGGGCGTCGCCTCGGGGCCCTGGGTCGCAATGACGCCCCCTGAACGCGACACCGCCGCGCCCATGGCGTCCATGTTGTCCACAAAATAGCTCGTGGCCCGCCGAGCAGCCCCCACGGCCTCGAGGAACGGCCGCCGCCGGAGATGGTCGTCGTAGGCGTTCATGTCCGCAAAGTTCAGCCGGTCGAGGTGCCGCTTGATGTACTTGAGGTCGTCCACGAGGCTGCACGCCTCGCAGAGCTCGGACAAAGACCGCAGGAAGCGCACGAGGCCCGCCGTCTGGAAGTTCACGAGGCGCACGGAGCCGTCGCACTGGCCCGCGGTCGACGCGACGTAGAGGCTCGAGCCCGCGTGGGGCGACACGACGAGGCCCACGGGCTGGGACAACCGGGCCATGCCCAGGGCGCCGTCCCCGTCGCCGCTCTGGAAGCGGTCGCCCACGAGCACCGCGTTCGCGACGCCGTCCGGGTCGCACGCGACGAGCTGGCAGCCGCCCACTGTCCCGACGACGACGCGCCGCCGCAGCGCGCCGTCGGAGTCCTTGACGAGGACCACGGCGACGCCCCAGATGGTGTCTTCGTGGGGGAAGGCGGCACCGTATTGCCGATGCCCGAGCCCCAAAAGGTTGACCTCGACGACAAAGTCCGGCGCCGCGGCCGCGGAATCGGCCCCCCAGACCGTCACGTAGCAGAGCGAGGCGTCGACGCAGACCTGGCAGGGCGCGCCCGAGAGCAGCACGCGGCGCTTGACCAGGACCTCGCGGCCGGGGACCAGCGGGAGCAGCACGTCCGCGACGAGAAGCGACCCGCCGCCGGCGGATCCCACGCACGCGATCACCATCGTCTGGTGGAGCGTCGGCGACGGCCGGCCCGAGCGCGCGAGGTCGAAGAGCTGGGCCTGCTCGAGGCCCGCGATCGCGGCGAGGCGGAAGACCTTCGAGGGCTCGAGGCTCGCGCTCCACCGGTACGGGTAGGAGACGACGACCAAGGCCGAGCCCTGCCCCGCGTCCGCGACGACGAGGAACTTGTCGTCGTCGATGAGCGCCATGCCGCTCGCGTTGATCATCTTGAGGGAAGAGGTGGGGTAGGTAAGGGTGGAGCCAGAAGGGGGGACCGCGGTCGTCAGCGACGTCGCGGGGCAGAACGCGCCGGCGACCCACGTCAGCTTCGCGGGGTTCTTGTTGCTCATGCTCACGATCATCCCCGACTCTAGTACCTACAGACGGGTCTGAAGTCCACGACGGCGGGGGGGACGGGAAACTGTGGGACGC